GGGATATATGTAAAACAAATATCGTTCGGTATCTCATTTCAGCTCAGATATTATTGGGCCCGATAGTAATAAACATTTATGAGATGATACTTCGAAACAGAAATGCCTCAGACTTGAATAAAATCATAATATCAAAGTTTCACGACATCAAAGTGACGATTCCTATTCTGACATTTTGCTATTCTAGATTTGACCCCACGTTAGTATAGGTACTTGTTTCCTAATGAATGTTTGCCACATAATGCTGGAAATGATTATCTGTAATATTTTACCTTGCCTCGAAAAATCTTTCGTGTTTTCACTTCAGCTTTACTTAAGCCGAAATTGCATTACGTGTAATTCAATAATTTCGTAATGCAAATAAGCTCGATTTTTTGGTGCGATGATGCGACGTGAAACTAGTGTCGCGAAAGTGCTGTGCTGTGCGGGATGTGCGTATTTTGATGCTAATACGCAACCGGATTCTTATGATAAAGACTTAAAACTATTTCCAGTTGCTTAATAACGCAGCAGTTTATGTTTATAGAGAAGCATGTCTTTAGCTAATGTAGCTAATATAGAAAAATAAAGCTTTGATGCTGATGGGGCCATGGTTACTGCGAAACTGAAGATTTCACGACACTAATTATTTAACGAAATTACTAATTACTAATTTCGTAATGTAATTCCGGCTTTAGCGAAACTGAAATAACATATACGAGGTGTTAGTGATTTCAGCAAATAACTGTAATTGTCTGACGGTACAAAAATATAATTTGCTGACTTCATCGTTAGGTTGATATTATAATATAGTCTTACTGTATTACTTTGAAGAGATTAATAGTGAGCTATAACTATACAGAGGAGACAGGTCAAATCTAAGTGTAATTCAAAGCAATTACGTCGTGATGGAGTAGCAAATGGCATTACGCAGTGCATTGCCTTCAATTAAGGCTACAAGGATAATACCGCGGCCTGACCGCCAAATGAGCTTTGCGCTTGTGGCTAAGTGCGGCCCGGTTATTATAACTAGAAATGTTGTTCTGAATTTAGGCAAGGATCCAGGAGCGTTACTATTGTCTAACGATGTCGGTCTGTCTTGGCTAAATGCGTTTTATTGATCCCTGTTTACCAAAATTGTCTGTAAAGCTTAAATAGGTTGTATTTTTTTATATAACAGGAGGCAAAGGAGTTAAGTGATAGTGAAGCCCATGGACACTCACATTGACAGGAGGCTCGCTAATGCGTTGCTGGCCTTTTAAGAAATGGTACGCTCTTTTCTTGAAGGACCCTAAGTCGAATTGGTTCGGAAATACTTCAGTGGGCTATTTATATATAGGTACTATACTATCGGGTAGAAACTTATAAATACCATGCTTATAGTTAATGAATATAGAAATTTTAAATTTATTTTTCAGTTTTTTCTTAAATATAAATATTACGTATTTAACGTTGACATCAAAATAAAATTATAATTAAAAGTAACGTATGTCTTCCTTATAAAGGAAAGTAGGTGAAAATACCACATTGAGAAAACAGCAGGTGGTATATGTCAGAGAGTGGCACAGTGCTGACAGAAATGGCGGGATTTAGAGGAGGCATTTGCCAAGCATGGGCAGAAAGATATTTAAAAAGAATGAGATGATAGAAATATAAATGTGTTTAAGTGTCAAAGTACCTGAATAAATATTATGTCTTAACATTGGTTCTGATATATGAATGAAAGAGTCAAATATATCCTAGTACATAGTTATTTATTTTACTTTATATAGCATAAACATAAAAATACATTTCAACTTCTGGGACAGAATAAGTTGGCACCAGAGAGCACATTAACTGAGCGAACTTTTAGTTGAGAATGTCTATCAATGACGTGTCGGATATAAAACGTCCAGTTACAATAGTTCAGCGATCGGATCGCAAAGACGAAAAGTTCGGCCCGCGCAATACCGATTTTCTTTTGTCCGATAACTTTGTAAACCTTTGTGCGGACCGACAATGTTGACTAACGCTTCGTTTCCGCTGCGCTTTTTAAATGTCGAACTCAGTTGTCTAGAATTTCCAATCTCTTCCAGTTTTATGAACTTTGACGTATAGATTAGGAGGTAACAATACGAATGTGAGTTTCTTTATAAAGTTCTCGATGAAGTTTATATATAATACTAGGTTTGTTTGTCGGGTCAGCTAGAAATAACTATATATAATAATAAAAAAATAGTAGTTGATCGTAGAGGGGTGAAAATTAGAGGTTGTATGTATTTTTGAACGTCATAACAAAAAAAATATGTAAAAAATAAAAATAAAAATTTAGGGATTTGAAAGATAGATAGTAGGCGATTCTAAGACTTACTGAATATGCATTAAAAAATCATAAGAATCGGTCGAGCCGTTTCGGAGGAGTATGGGAACGAACATTGTGACACGAGATTTTTATATATTAATATTAATAATAAAAACTTTATTAATGACAGAAGTGTTTGTGACAGAAATCATAAGAAATCATAAGAAATCATTAGACAATACACATCTTTTTACATCGTAAACTAAGATTCTAAGGAAAATTTTAATAAAAATTGATCCATAAAGTAAAGAATTTTCTATCCTAAATGGCCACAGACACATTTCTGCACCTTGTCGGATTATTTAACTTTAATACAGTTTCATGAAAAAACAAAATATTTCTAACGAACCGGTAGTTCCTGATATCGCGTTCAAAAAACAAACTCTTTAGCTTTTAAATAAAATGGAACATAAATCAATATTGACCTGTTGTGCCTACACAGTTTCGCTTGGAATGGAATTCAAAAGCTCTGTAAATTAATTCTATTGTTATTGGTATACGCGGAACATTATCGATGTATTAAAAAATAATTGACCAAGATTTCGTTAGGGTAGGTACAGTGTAACTAAATCTTTACCGACTTGGCTATGCCGACCGACTAATAAAACTAAGGGGCGTTCCATTGCCAGCCTTTCTCATGTTGATCAGTACCACCCTCACTACATCATATACATGTCTCATCCCGCTTTGAAACCAGTTTTCACTGGTTTTTAGCTAGAATTTATAAAATTTCTCATTCTGTAGCAAAGGCCAGGTTTTTCTAGTATGGCATAAATAATGTTTTCGAAAGTATTTTATTTCGTGTATTATAAGGTTTATATAACTGCATAGATTAATTTGTATGGTTACATTAATGTATGGTTTGTTAGGTTTGAGGCCGCGTTAAATGTTTGGTGTCAATCCTACCAATATTATAAACGCGAAAGCTTGCAAGTATGGATGGATGTTTGTTACTCTTTCACGTAAAAACTACTTAATGGATTTTAAGGAAACTTTACAATAATATAGATTATACATCAGAATAACATATAGGCTACACTTTATAAAGATACTGTGTGAATTGTCCAAAATATCAAGTAAGTACGAAAAAATCTACCATCTGCGAGCTATTCTGGCGTGCGCTGCCAAAACCGCTAAAGTTACACATATGTAATGTATGATGGAAATATTTATCTTAAATAGTCCTACAAAAAAGCCCGCCACAGTATATATATCTATGTTTTATGTGTAAGCCATTATAGCCAAAAAAGTGAACCACTACTACAATAAAAATTTATAATTTTTTAAATTTATTACTATTCCTAAATGAAAATAAAAAATTTAAAGTTGATAAAATATGTCTTTCACGCTACATTATGTGGACAAATATTATTTTAATCCTGCGCAGAGGAAGTCGCGGGCACCAGCTAGTAAGGAACATATCAGTTCTTTGGTTTTTTTATTAGAACAAGCCACATGCTAGAATTTGTACTTAATTAAATTAAAACCAACCTGCCAAAGTCATTACTTAGTTTGGAAGTTTTTAACTAAAAGGGTTGAACTAAAAGAAATTCGTTAACAGCATGTGAGCACAAAAACCTTTGTTATTTACGAAATTTAAATAAAGGCGTTGCCGACGCTTGTTCTATACCAGGGTAAACGAGCCATTGTGGGTACCATTGTCCCCGTCCCTTCAAACCTTTTCTTTCAGTGTTAGTGATGGGCCGTATTAGTTTAGGACCATCTCAAATTATGGATACATTTTTACACACGCAACTATAAAGAAAATATGTTATAGCTTAGTTAAGATAATATTGTTTTAGGTTATGGTTAAACAGAAGTATATTGATGTTATATCTTTTCAATTGTAGCTTAAGTCGAGGGAGGTAGAATTCATAACTTTTTCATAAAGTCGCGAAAGCATTGTTGGCCTAGTGACTTCAGCATGCGACTCTCATCCCTGAGGTCGTAGGTTCGATCCCCGGCTGTGCACCAATGGACTTTCTTTCTATGTGCGCATTTAGCATTCGCTCGAACGGTGAAGGAAAACATCGTGAGGAAACCGACATGTCTTAGACCCAAAAAGTCGACGGTGTGTGAGGCACAGGAGGCTGATCACCTACATGCCTATTAAATTGAAAAATGATCATGAAACCGATTCAGAAATCTGAGGCCCAGACCTAAAGAGGTTGTAGCGCGACATAATTGACTTGCCTAATTTTATATTTAAAAAAATTTACGGACGTAGCTAGTAACCCGAATATCAAAACTATGATTTTCCTTCACTTCAAAACCAAAGTAGAATTTATAAATACACAAACTAAATATAAAGACCTATACCTGTTTTCATCATTATCTAATGCTGAGTGAAAAAAATATACAGTCAAATCTATTATAACGATATCGAAGGGACCACTTATATTTGGTTGTAAAAACCGATAGTCGTAACAATGTATGACGTTATTAAGTACCTAGTACAATAGAATTCAGCCGGGACCTTTGATTTTGGTCAATATAACCGGTATGTTGTTCTAAAAGATGTCGTCGTAAACGATTTTGACTGTATTTCCATATCACGGTTTTCGAGTGAAACCCTTTTTGTATTTAATCGATGATACGTATTAACGTGTTGTGATGTGAGAATGTAGGTAGCCGTCGTTTCCATAGTAACCATTCTTCTACGTGTGAAAATTACGTAACCATGGTAACGACCGGACCTCTATCTCCTACACATTTTGTAATAAAGCCGCTAAGGATTAAGCTCAATAAATCTTGTTATTCGCTGTTTTTTTATACAGCATAAATATTAACTATGTTTGACCCCGGCGTTTGCTCAGCTGGACGCGCTAACAAGCGACGGCAAAACAATATGCCCGGGTTTTGTTTATGTAAAAAGTTTATCTGGGAAAGATAAATCGGCGCACGTTTAGTTGGAGAATCTAAAATATTTGCATTTAAAGTTTTATTTTAGTTGGAAACGGGCGATTTGTGTATACGGAAATCCCTGATGTATAAACAGTTTCTTGGAATAGAAATATTTTAAAAATAAAATTTGCAGAATATTTACGATTTTAACTTATAGTATTGAAAACTCTGATTGTCTAGAGTAAATAAAAAATATCGCCTCCAATTATTATACCTGCAATTTGCTAATGACGCTGGCCGAACAGTTATTGCCAGGCATATGCATATAAGTTCAGAATATGCATATTTTTTTACTTTACTTGGTCAGAAAATATAGCTATTCTACTTTTTCAATTTTTTTCGATTTATTTAAAATGATGAGTGCAATATGTCTGCCCCCATGTCACAATGAATTACGGGACTTCATACATATAATTTAATGAGATAAATCGACTTTTATCAATCTATCGCATAGTTACCAATCTATTAGAACAATTAAATTGTATTTAAAGAAGTTCATTCAGTTTGAAAGTCATCTGCGAAAGCTGATTGAATAAACCTTATAATTGTTATTCAAACTTCATTTGGCTTTTGTATTTAGCGTTTCTTTGTTACGGGTTGGTATTTTATATATTTAAATTGTACTTAAATAGTGTTTATGTAACAGGAGACCGGCATCACCTGTTTGGTACAATTGGGGAAGTTCAAGTAGTTCAAGCCCAGAGAGTTCAATCCCTGGGGAAACAAAATCAGCTTTGGAAATCATACACCTGCGAAATACGCGCAGAATTCCTGACTCATTGTCTAATGTGTGGTTTTCTGAAGATTATTATTGATGTTAATAAATAGCTTATCAATTAATTAGTAATTCGAACGCAATATTCTTCTATATTATACACCAATATCATTTTTATGTGAAATAGGATTTTCATCTTAGAATTCTCGTATAAAGCCAGACAAAATAGGAATAAACGCGAGGCGAGGGATTTTATTAAATTACTGTATTATTATTTATTCTCTGAAATTACCCAAAGGGCAGAGACTAAACGGGACACAGGCGGTTTACACGTAGTCGTAATAAATAATGATTTTTCATATATTGGTTGAATTTTCCGGAACCATGTCCGGTACTTTCGTTATGTATCAATAACATAAAATAAATCTCTAAGTAGTAAAGAGTTATACAAATTAAATATTTATTACTTGTTAATATAATTAAAACAGTTGAATCTTCAAAACTAAACAAAGGAATCTATTTGACAGAAGTTTAAATTACGAACAAGTTTCAAAGGAAATTAACTTTAAGTAGTCAGAAGTTGGGAAATGACTAAATTTTTGCAACTTACCCCGTTGCTTAAAAATTATTTTCCCTCGCAACGAAATACATAGTCAGCATGGCGGCCTTTCTCATGCTAATACGAGTTCGTGCTATTTTCTCGCTGTCTGTTGCTTTCCAACAACTGTGAAATTGCACCGTCCGAACCGTACATAAATGTCTTGTTTAGCGAGAGCGTAAAGAATTGTTCCATTTTACCCCGCTGTTCTTATAGATACGGTTCTAAGTATACAATTATAAATCAGTGTTATTTAAATAAGTTTTCCTATTTTTTTGCCGTGCATTTTCAACATGGGAGATAATAATCTAGTCAATATATTCACTATATAGTAGATATAAATGTCGCCTTTACTAGATTAAGATTATTTGTACATTTCACAGCATCAGAAATTTACTACCTAATTTTTTGTAGGTCTCAGATTTCTGTATCTGTTTCATGATCATTTGTCAATCTAATAGGCAAGGAGGTGATCAGCCTCCTGTGCCTGAAAAACGCCGTCTCTAGTTCTAAGGCAAGGCTGTTTCCTCACGATGTTTTCCTTCACCGTTCGTTATATCTAATAGTATATCTAGCTAAATAATGCCAAATAATGTTCATGTGTTCCTTGCGTTTTTACGTTAAATAGGCTCCTCTGTTATACCACTACAATTCAAATATGCTGCATATTTGACTGTATTGTTTGTTATTATTAGGTGCGGTGGTTTGAGCAACAACGAGAGAGACGTAGAGTTAAAAGAGATTATAAGCCGTATGAAGGGGCTCTATGGTCCCAACTAGCGAGGCGACCAGCATCACATCGTACGCGACATCGTGCTATAACACCATCTCTTTTCCCTGATCCATTGTTCAAAGAACAGTGGTATTTAGTAAGTTTTTTAACATGTATTCTGGTAATAATTAAAAATCTTGAAAATATCATACTGGATTTTGAATTTCAAAGAAAATATTCAAAAGTTTGTCTTGAAAAGGTGTATCATTTTCAACCTATTTAAAGTGAATGCCGGGTTTTTAATATCTATTCCAACTTGAAATTTATTAAATGAAAATTTGTCTTTAGAATGGCGGAGCAAAGGATGGATTAGACATGAATGTAGCACCGGCGTGGCAAAAAGGTTATACAGGGAAAGGCGTAGTGGTCTCCATTCTGGACGATGGAATTCAAACTAATCATCCGGACCTTAAACAGAATTATGTAAGTTATTTAAATGATGTTGAAGTTTTTTTTGAATACTACCATTAATGTTTAAACTATAACTCGTGTTCCATATTTTCTAGCTAAATTTATGTTTTAGGACGCTCTTGCATCAACTGATATCAACGGTAATGACGATGACCCCATGCCTCAAGATAATGGAGATAACAAACACGGTACTCGATGTGCAGGGGAAGTAGCAGCAGTTGCGTATAACCAATACTGCGGTGTTGGTATAGCTTACAACGCAAGTGTAGGCGGTGTTAGAATGTTAGACGGAATTGTCAATGACGCAGTAGAAGCTAGAGCTCTAGGTTTAAATCCTGATCATATTGACATCTACAGTGCCTCATGGGGACCTGAAGATGATGGGAAAACCGTTGATGGTCCAGGACCTCTTGCAAGAAGGTATAATTTTAAATATTCTTAAAGCATAATAAGATTGAAATGACATATTAAATGTGTGATCTATGTTTACAGAGCATTTATCTATGGGGTGACAAGCGGCCGAAGGGGCAAGGGTAGTATATTTGTTTGGGCTTCCGGCAACGGAGGCCGACATACAGATTCATGTAACTGTGATGGGTATACAAACAGTATATTTACTTTATCAATATCTAGTGCTACTCAGGGTGGATATAAACCATGGTATTTAGAAGAGTGTTCATCTACATTAGCCACTACATACAGTTCAGGAACTCCTGGTCATGACAAGAGTGTTGCTACGGTTGACATGGATGCCAGATTGAGACCCGATCGTATCTGTACCGTAGAACATACCGGTACATCTGCTTCAGCGCCATTAGCGGCTGGTATATGCGCGTTAGCCTTAGAAGCAAATCCAGACTTAACATGGAGGGATATGCAATATCTCGTAGTTATGACATCTAGACCCCAACCGCTAGAGAAAGAAAGTGGTTGGATTGTTAATGGAATAAAAAGAAAAGTAAGTCACAAATTTGGTTATGGCTTAATGGATGCTTCTGAAATGGTAAATTTAGCTGAACAGTGGGTATCGGTCCCTCCACAACATATTTGTAAATCACAAGAAATAAACGAAGACAAAGCTATAGATTCTTCCTATGGATACACTTTAAAAGCACATATGGACGTTACGGGGTGCAGTGGAACTGTAAATGAAGTTAGATTTTTAGAACATGTGCAGTGCAAGATATCTTTGAGATTTTTCCCTAGGGGTAACTTGCGTATCCTACTCACATCTCCTATGGGAACAACATCGACATTATTATTTGAACGACCTCGAGATGTAGTAAGTTCCAATTTTGATGACTGGCCTTTCCTAAGTGTACATTTCTGGGGTGAGCGAGCAGAAGGTAGATGGTCCCTTCAAATTGTAAACGCTGGTAATAGACATGTTAACCAGCCTGGTATTTTAAAGAAATGGCAGTTAATATTCTATGGAACTAATGTTGATCCTGTTCGATTTAGTACGAAACGACCGTCGGCTTTGGGACCTCCTTTCGGTTTCCCAACTGGAGTAGATGGCTACGATACAGTCGGGGATTCTTTTTATAATACTGACGCGTTTACCAATTACCAGAACTTTCCTTCATTATTTGCTGCTGGATCTGATCCAGAAAAAGCAATAGCCCGTCTTGACGGACATAATATCCCTTCAACGCATGGGGAGAATGTCCTCGCTGATAGTAATGATAAGCGTGTCATGCATGACTGTGATCCCGAATGCGATGCCCAAGGATGCTATGGAAAAGGACCTACACAATGCATCACCTGCAAGCACTATAGACTTGACGATGCTTGTGTTTCTCGATGCCCACCGAGAAGTTTTGCAAACCAAGGAGGAGTGTGCTGGCCATGTCACGAGTCATGTGAAACTTGCATTGGACCTGGACAAGATTCTTGTTTGACTTGTGCCCCCGCACATTTATTGGTTGCTGACTTAGCCGTCTGTTTGCAACAATGCCCTGACGGATACTATGAAGACAGTGATGCATCTGTTTGTCGGGCATGTGCTATGCATTGTTCGACATGTTCTGATAGAGCCGATGCTTGTACCTCATGTGAACATCATCTTGTTTTATACAATGGTACTTGTTGTGCGTCTTGTCCACCCACAACATACGAAACTGAAGATGATTCTTGCGCTAGTTGTCATACGTCGTGCGACACGTGTATGGGACCAGGACCAGTCCAGTGTATTACTTGTCATCCATCAAATTACATCCTTGATGGACGCTGCATTAACTCATGCCCGAGTGGATATTACGCCGATAAGAAACGGAAAGAATGTCTAAAGTGAGTTTCACCTAAATTCCTTAATGTCAATATTTCTAACAAAATCTTTGAAAAAATTAATTTCTATTTACTTTTTCTTGTAGATGTCCAGTTGGTTGTTCCAATTGCTTAAGTTCATTTTGCTTAAGTTGCGACACTAATTGGGAATTAAATAAAAAGGGTAAATGTCTCCCCGTTGGCAATGATCGTTGCAGTGCTGGTGAATTTTCTTCTAGCAACGTTTGTCAAAACTGTAATGAAGCGTGTGATACATGCTATGGCGAAGAAGAAAAGAATTGCTTAACTTGCCCCGCTCCACATCTCTTGCAGAACTACAAGTAAGATTAAATATGTTATGCAAAACATACCTATATTAAACTTGTTAATGTTAGCATTTTCAATTGATAAGTTTTAAAAAGTTATAGTCATAAGTCTTCTTTATAGTAAGCGCGTCTAAAACAGAACCGCTTGCCATAATAATCCCTGCGTAGTCGAAATCAAAGTCGATTCCCGGATTCACGGATTCAATCAATAGACTGTTGACGTTTTAAAAAGTTTTTGTCCTAACATTTTTTTTTTCAGATGCGTGTCTGAATGTGGCCGTGGGTACTATCCAGAAGCGGGTAGATGTGCGAAATGTGTTCATGGGTGTTCCCAATGTGCATCAAGACTTAATTGCACTAGCTGCGAAGGATCTTTGCGATTACAATCAGGGGCTTGTAGGACTTCGTGTGCCGAAGGGTAAGAAATATATTAAAAGTTGAAAAATATTTTTATAAAGGAGTAAATATAGAAAACATATTACAAAGCAATCAAATATCAATCATGCAAAGATATTGGTGTTTCTTTGTGAGAGCCGTGCATATTACGATATCAATTCAATTTAGTTATATGAAAATTCTATAATATAGATCCTTTTCTACTTGAAAGCTTTAGAATGAGTTAAAGGCGCTTTGAGTGTTGGCCTAGTGGCTTCAGCGTGCGACTCTCCTGAGGTCGTAGGTTCGATCCCCGGCTGTGCACCAATGGACTTTCTTTCTATGTGCGCATTTAACATTTGCTCGAACAGTGAAGGAAAACATCGTGAGGAAACCGACATGTCTTAGACCCAAAAAGTGGACGCCGTGTGTCAGGCACTGGAGGCTGATCACCTACTTGGATAGTAGATTACAAAATGATCATGGAGCAGATTCAGAAATCTGAGGCCAAGACCTGTTAGATAGGTTGTAGCGCCACTGTTTTATTTTTTAAAGGCGCTTTGATCTCAAACTCAATTTTATATATATGTCAGGTACTACGCGGACCGTGGAGTATGTTCTAAGTGCTACCTGTCATGTCGGACCTGCAGCGGTCCAAGACGGGATCAGTGCGCTTCTTGCCCGTCTGGTTGGAGGCTAGCAGCTGGAGAATGTTATCCTGAGTGCCCACAAGGTATTTAACATATATATACACAGTAAATTATATTTTCAGATATAGACTTCGTACGTTTATTTCTAAACAAAATATGGTGGTGGAAATGTTTATGAACTTATATTTCGCTTGTTATTTAAATGTAATTGTAAAGTATTAACCACAAAACAGAAAGTTATGATCTGAAAATTTGGGAAGTGTTTTATTAAAAAAACGATAGTAATATCTAATATCATTTATTATAACATATTTTATGTTTTGCCAGGTTTCTATAAAACGGAAGACGGTTGCCGCCACTGCCACCACTATTGCCGTGAATGTGATGGCTCTGGGCCTCTACATTGCAAATCGTGTCCACCTGGCTTTATGTTAGATGGCGGGCTTTGTATGGAGTGTCTGGGCTCACAGTATTACGACAAAAGCAGTGGAACGTGTCATAGCTGTCATGATTCGTGTAGAACGTGTTCTGGGCCGGGACAGTTCAGTTGTACCGGGTGCTCGCGACCTTTGAGGTTTGATAGGTCAGTTTCGTGTTATTTACCGTACGATATTAATTTTGTTTTGTTATCAAGTGTTTTGAGATATATTAATATATTCCTTTTTTAGTTTTCACTTTAGCTTTAAGGTAAATAAAAACACGAGATAAGCCATTAAATATGCTAGCTAAGATAGCTTTTTGAATTTTTTAGCCCTGCATTTATTAAACGATATCTCTTGTTGGTTATAGATTAAACAACCAATGTGTACCGTGTTGTTCCGAGTCTAACCAAGCTGCTAATTCAACCCCAGCATCGACACCCGACTGCTGTCACTGTCACCCTGACACTGGTAAGGAAAAAACTTAGGTTTAAAAAAAAATTGCTTACATAACTCGCCGTTGTGAATGTTTTTAAACGTTAGCAAGAGAGTCTGTGACCACGAGAAAAGCGTAACTATTAATTTAAACACCCACCGCTTGGCTTCTAGGAATTTTTTAATATTTTGTAATCCCATGTTGTTCAGCGATAGTATTAGTACGGGAGCTAGAAACGTTTGAAAAGAAAGAATTTTAGGTCAGCTGATTTTGTGATATGTCTTCCTTCTTGCACTTTCGGTTAGAGTTTGGGCTATCTGGCTGGCGGTAGCGGTTGCGTTCATTAGTGCGCATCCTACCTGTCCAGGTAATAATCCTGGATTTTAAAAGCATTTTAAGAAGCGTAATTTTTAATTTTTCGTTTTTAAATAAGTCTACCTGACATACTTTTTTTATTGCCAGACATTTTTGACAATGCTAACTATGTGCCATACGCGATTTTTGTTTTTTTTTTATAAAAAATTCAAAGTATTTTATAATGTCTGTAATTTTATTATTATGTTATTTAAATATAAGAAAAACTAAAAATTAATTTGCCAGACATTAATTCGATTGTTAAACCTTGAATTGAAATGAAAAAGTATTGCAGTATAATGCTAGTAGTTCGAGAGAGACAATTGCAGAATAAGTCGAGAATGAGACAGAGAACCATTACAAAAGTAAAACTATAAAGTAAATATTACAATTAAGAACATTGAACTATTGATATTAATACAGGTAATATTAATATTGATAAACAAAAATTCTTTAGTTGATGCTTATAAATTATAATTAACAAAAATTTCATACAAAACCTTACTAACAATAGAAACGTAACACAACATATTCGATATTAAAAAATTCTGGCATCAATTGGAAATTAATAATATCCAGATTATATTGTCTTTCGTCTACGCGAGTACGAGACTAGACTGTATTCTGACCCATCTGAAGCATTAATTAGATCCAAATTTGCACATAATGTAAAATAAGACTAGGGGACTAAAGGTAAAATTAAATAATAATGATACACTTTATTTGCCTCTTCACAATATTGCATTTTACGGGCTTACATGCTGCTGGTATTGACCATCTGCGTGAAAAGCTGGTGCCTATGAAAGGTTTAAAGAAGTCATGAAGTAACAGGTCACCGACCCTTCATCGCGGACGGAAAATATGCAAAATTCTACATACACACTATGACTAAACCAAATTAACAAACAAAATATAACTAAAGCATGAGTGGTTGAGGGTGTGTGTAGTGAACATGTGTAAATAGTTTGTAGATGTTAATTAATTTAAAAAAAAAGTGTGTGTACTTATGTACTCGCGCTAGAAGTTATACTTCTTTGGCGTAACAAGATAAAAATCTTTTAAAAATTTATTCTACGCTTGTAGAAAAAACGACACTAACAATAGAAAAAACAAAATTTTTGACTATAGCTAACTTCAGGTCATCGGTTTTTTGTGACGGTGTGCGCGCACATTGTATTAATGTACTCTTATCATTTTTCTCGAACGCGCCAAAAGAATTATAACTTCAAAAAGTGTAAATTCATTCTAAGTATTAGGCAATCATATTAATTACATGTTCAGGTGACTGCATAAACTCATCCGTGGCGGGAAAGCGGCGTATAGCAGAGTGGGGTGCCCTTCAAAGCGCCAATGATACTCCAGCAAAAACACCTCTTAATCCAGGAATGATGTTGCTGGTATTTATCGCTGCTGGAACTATTGTGGTCGGGCTTATGGCTGTACAGGTAATTGTTAATTTGATTTACATGATGTCGAGTTCAAATTAGGTAGGTACATGAGTTCTTGTAAATAAATATTTCTAAAACTAGTAATTCTCTATAATAAACAAACACCTTTAACAACTTTTATAAGGTGATGTATTTTTAAAAATTAAAAATAATAATAATAAATAAATCAGTGCCGCTACAACCTTTTTACGTCTGGGCCTCTGATTTCTGTATATATTCCATGAAATATAATAGACAAGTTGACGCCGTCGACATGTCCCTTCACCGTTCGAGCGAATATTAAATTCGGACATAGAAAGAAAGTCCATTGTATTGGTATACAGCCGGGTATTGAAGCTACGACCTCAAGACCTCAAATATATGCTAATGAATATATTATATGTCTTTTTTATCATACTATTTACAAGCTAATAAATTAATTTAATAAAATAGAACGCACTCCAATGCCCTTAAAGTATTAAAAAATAAAAACACGTCGAACACACTCCTTCGGTTTTTTAACTGAAATTATTTTTATCGCAAATTTTCAATTGAAATTTCGATAAAACCGACACAGAAATTTGCCTATTAGCGCGTTATCAGGATTGCCGTTGTGGTGAATTTGGTATGGTCTGGCATTGGCCTGAGTTGGCTTTCTGGAGAAAGAATACATAAAAAACCTCATCTAGCAATCAGTGAAATATACGGTATTAATATGTATCACTGAGGGATTGTGCTAGCTCTTAAATAGTGCTAAACAGACTAACATTCCTGATAGTTAAGTAATTAAGAAAAAATCACTCGTAAACGTAAAAAACCCTCACGTGAAAGCATATCTTCGTTAATAAGCTTCCATAAAGCTCCAGGCTTCAAAATTGAAAATCCCCGGAGTAGATTATAACGCATTTATCTCAGTTTGCGTGATGTTTGTCATTTCTTGCTTTCCATCTCATTTAGTGATTACAACTCTCCCTGGTCTCAAAGGAATATACGTCTTTTTGTACCTTTAACTTCATTACACATTTTTCCTGATAAAATATGTTTATGTAAGATTCTCTTTTTTATTATATCTTTAAAAAGGATATCATTCTTGCGTAAAGTATATCTAATTACTCAAGAATTGTATTGGTTTCAAAGATCCAAAGTTCTAATAATTTAATTATATCTTTGAAGAGTCTAAGATTCCAAAATAAAATTCAATAAAACTTGACTTTTGGTGTAATATTTCAAAAACGAATTAGACTATTTTGAATTATTTTTTTGTCTCGTTATAGATATAACACCACAAATATTGGAAATAATTTTCACGTCATATTTTACATTAATTGATGTAGAGAGGCTGACTGATATTTTTTTTTCAGTTGCATTGGACGAAGCGGCAACGTCGCGACAGCAAGCAGGGAGCGATTTATTCGCCGCTCGCTTGCAGTGATGACGGTGACGTCACGGTCTTTGCGTCCCGTACTGCCGTCCCTGTGTGCGAGCGGGACAGCGAATGTCTCGATCATGAACACGAATCACTTCTAGAACATTCCACATAGCGCGCGCTGTGATGTTAGCTGTAAGTTATATTTTAGAAACAGCTGGCTTTGAAATGTTTGCATTACGTATGCAATATTGGTGACAGTTCAAACTCAGTTTTGTATGATTTCAGACAGAGTGACACAGAATATTACTTGAGTAACAGTTCGAAGGACTGAGTGAATGATTTTGGATTAGGTTCAGGTTTAGGATCCATCAAAAGTTAGTTTCTGTAGTTAATGTTTCTCTTCGATTTTACCAAATTATAAAACTATTATTCTGGGCCAGTTGTTTCGCATAAACTCTAGTTTTTTGTGTCATCTGTATATACAGCTTTCAACTGTCAGCGCTAAGGTAACGTCAGAGATTTAACAATTGACATTGAAATGTCATCACTCGAATATATTTTTACAGAATCCTCCTCTTCATTATAATTTTTGGATATAGTTAGAATATGAATACTAATTAGGCCAATATAAGTACTCAAATATAGATAGGATGAAAAAATGTGTACAGGTAGAAAATTTATATATTGATAATTCTCTGAGTGATGACGTCACAAATTAATGGAAGTAACATGTTATATTTTATTTGTAATTAGGTGTAAATTGTTAATGAACAAAATGTTCTAAGCGACAGGGCATTGCCCTCTGCCGTCTACAATGTGATATAAGCGCTTAAGAGGTGAATACGTATAATCACTGCTGTTATTATTAAAAAGTTTAAATATATTTAAAATACCGTACCAAATTTAAGAGTTAATTGTCATTTCCAATGCGAAGTCAATCCTCATTTAATTGCGAAATCTCAAGAGCACTCGCTCACTAATTCAGAAATATATTATTAAATATTTAAAAAGAAATGTTATTTCTTAAACCGCAAAGTTAATGCTCGAATATAATATAGTTTGAACACGGAACAAACAAACAAGTCACAAACATAAGTTCCCAACTCGCACACAAAACGGTGTCAAACATTGCAGATACGAAAATTCGCTTGCGGTCAAACTTTGGGGGCAGTAAATTTAAATTATGGCCCGCACCGAATCTGCTTACTGTGTCTTGTACCCTCAAGTCAATAGTTAAACACCAGAAACTACGCAACTTTGTTAGGCAAGATTCCAAACTGGACGGACTTGCTGCCTTTGGAGCCCCAGAATTGATGTCAATTTATAGCTATGCAATAGTTTTGCTCACTCGTAAATTTGAAATATTACAACCCTTTTTTTCTCTCTTTTTGAGGTGGGATTTTTTGAATTTCATCAAAATATGAATCGATTTTTTCCGTTGATTTTCACATACAGTTGTATATTATAAAAACTCTATGCCATCAAGTCTTAAGAAACTATACTGTATACAATATATGTAATATTGGACCTTTACGTAGGAATAGTGCAAGAGTTTTAAATATTTCTGAGATATTTAAACAATATTACAATTTTAATTAATATAAGTAGATTGTAGTAGCGGTCCAATATTTTAGTTAGACCAATATTAATTAATTGATCTTCAATGGGGCCCCTAAATTAATGAAGGGTCGTGTCGACACTTGATAACTTAGACATAGTTTACACAAGAACGGTTCATGTAACAGTGACCCAAGAGTTTATACTTTGTGTTGCCAACTTGACGCGTCAATTCGATATAATCTAACGACAAATTAATTTGAATAAAGATTATTTATTAGAATTGAAAGTTAAAATATATAAAAATATAGTTAAAGTAATTACTTACACGAAATAAGCTAGGTATACGCTAGGAATGAACATGTGTTCAGTTAAAACATAAAATATTACGAATTGTCGATGGTGACACCAATATTTGGAATTAATGAAAATAATACTGTTGACAATTTAATGATAACAGCAGCAAATGAATATTAATTAAACACGGTATCTGATACTTTATTAATAACAATAACATGCCATATCGATGCCAGATACGTATTTCGCTCTACAGCGACGCAATTAAAATAATTATAAGGATTCGTAGGAAATAGGACCAATAGTTACCATTCCGTACAATATTTACATTAGGAAACATTTTGTCGCTAAACTCCTGGGATGTTTCTTCACTAGAATTTTTTTGCACTTATGGGGCATGTGATTCGTTTTTTAATATCCAATTGATGTGATGTTGCGAATACACAGACAGTCCAATATGATCGGACTTCTTTACGTTTTTCTGTAATCTTATGTTATAAGTAGGAAAACAAGCTTTCGCTTTTTAGAATGTTAAAAATATAATATGGGTTTTTCTCAGTAAAGTTTTATCTTTCTACGTGTCTATGTCTCAAAATTTAGTTAAGTCTTTTGTACCGGGTATTGTTACCATTTACCATCACAAACTAGATAGGTCGTTAAAATTATATTACCTATAAATAATCAATTGATAAAATTTATATGTAGGAAATTTATTTTCTTGTTTGGGACTATTTGTGTACTTATTTAATCGGAAATCTTGACATCTGATTTATATTTTTTACAAAATATGCATAATCTTTTTATAATTAGAAAAATTTCATATCAATTTTCAATTTAATTTTTATGTGTGTACGTTTTTTAGTTTGTTTTAGTGATTATTTTTAATTAAATTGTATTTTTGTATGAAATGTTTCGTGGAATTCGTATTTATAATAAAAAAATATGTCAAAATGCTTGTTTCTTTTACCCGTCCTTTAATAGAGATGTTTTATTTCTAGAAGTGATAGTTATTATTAATAGGATTAAGAATAACACTGTACAGTAAAGTTAGTTAATAGATCTATAGAAACAAGGATAAGTTAAAAATATACTTAGCGAAATATTAAATATTTTACCTACACATATGCTATGCAGTTTTTATTCATAATTTTTATAAGCCTTGGCTTGTTTTATTTTGTATTTCCAAGTAACACGAAAATGATAAGGAACTTACATTTATATGAACACACATAACAACAGGTATACATTTAAAAATAAAGGTAAATTCTAATTGAATAAACTGACACGAGCAAAAAGGAAAAAGGCTTTTTTAAACTACTTTACATAGGGCGAGTCCACAGCTGAAGTTTGTGGCTACAGAAAATCCTAAGGCGTCATCTCATAACTTTGAATATAAAATTAAGTTAATTGACTATATTTATAAGCTTTACTAAAATTTTGACAGGAAGTGGACATGGCATAGGCGAGGATGGTGAGAGTGTAAAAGGAAAGACATCGTACATTTGATTAGACAAAATGACGTATTGTCTACACGCGTGTTCGACTAGAGATATTGACCAATCACAATCGAACGAAACGCGCCATCGCTTCGTCGTTCGTACAGACTGTACTTGAGCGTTGATATTTTTTTTTCTCTAAGTTAAAACACTGAAAGACCTAAACCAGAAATAAATTAGCTAAGTGTAGCAATGAATGCACTTGTAAGTTGCACTAACTTCCTCGGTTTCTTAAGAAGTTTCAAGTGCTCCTGAGAAATTATTGCGCCGTGTATGTAAATAACTGCGTCTTAAAACTTTATACTGTTGTTTTACATAACATTTAAATATATTTACAATTATGTTAGGAATTAAGATAAGTGCACTGGCGGTCTTGGCACACAAAAGTAAGTTTTTATATTTAGTGCGAGTGAGAGCTGGATTCAGGATATTTTATCGCTTTTTATTACAGTTGTCTCATAAATGTCTCTGTTTTGGGCAGAAATAATCTTTATTATTAAACTGTTGGTTATTAATTAAAAAACAAATATAAAATTGCTAATGAATGTCAGTCAACCATAGATAGCGGTTTTATTCATAAACAACAAAGGTAGGTATTATGTGTGAACGGGAACGAATATTGTTACTGAAATATATTTTGTCACGTTTAAAAACATATCTCTTTCTCATATAATATTACTAGGAAGTAAATATAAAAAAATTATAACTAAAAAGGGATGTTTATAGCCCTTTCAATCCAAACAGTTTATGTTAATATGCATGAAATGATTAGAAGTATAAAATTTATAGGTTGCAAATACCCAACTCTCAAAATGTTCGATATCCAAGCAATTGTTTCACGAGCGGTGAATCCAATTTACTAAATTCATTCTTCTATTATTCTTTCAATCAAAGCCGTAAAGCCTCAAACAACTGTATTTTTCTTTCCATGATGGATATCGGTTTATTGAACATCTTATTTTTATTTCGGATTTGAATAAAACATTCGTTTTACGTTGCTAGTGAATTAGCGATTTTTAGCTACTAATAATCAACAGAAAGGTTAATTTATGATGTTTTTGTAAGGCAAGTCTATATTATATGTCTCCTTTTATATAATACGTATGTTGTATACAAAATGTAGGATTTAAAAATATAGAATTAGCCCTTTATTTACTGTCCCTCTCGTTTGAAAAGATAAATTAAGGGCCCTGACGGGCTCTAACCACCAGAGCGGTAAATTTTTAGTAAGGTTTTCTATAAACGAACGTAAATTACAGTGCATTTTAATAAATTATTTTTAATGCATATTTTGTATTTTTAAAGCTAGTTATCATCGCAAGTGTGTGATTATATAATCATACTTTATACATTTTCCACGAGTATAATTAAATGAATGAAGGTGGGCTGGCGAATAACGATAGCTTCAAAACCCTTAAACGTACGTATTCAATCTTTTTTGTAATTCCATTTGCTATGAAAAGTAAATAAAATATTATACATTGTATATTTGAAGCATACAAAACTAAAGTATTCATTAACCCAGATTCGCAGTGAAGGAGCCGCTACGTTCTCAGCTTTCCTTAGAGGTTTTCGCCTAGCAGGTAACCTTCGCACAAATAAACAAAAAGAATAATTCGAAAATGTTTTCAATTCATTCTCTCACGGGTTAATTACCTAAATTAAAATGTTGGACGCTTTGTGCTTTTTGTGGCTTAATGGCTACTGAAAAAAATGTTTTTCGTTTACACTCAACATTTATTTTATTTATGGAAGATTTCTAATTAAAATTTTAATTAGTGAATGTTGAAAGTAGTGATATTTTATTTTTATAGTACAAACA